CTAGCGAAACCAGTGGGTCATATAAATAACATTGCAGGCCTGAGAGGGATTAAAGGCCAAAGATACACCCCATAATGAACCCAGGTGGACCAATTCCCTTAGATGGATAAGATAGAGTTGTTGGCGAAGGTCGCAAAAGTGATGCTCTCTTGGCAGGTAGGTGCGCAATAAAAGCGTTGAATCATTACCGTGACCGCGGACAACAGCCGGTTGCAATAGCGCCTCTTGCTCAAACTGTTTGCACTTAGCTCATCGCTGTACTCCCTCAGTCCTAGTCTGTCTTCGCTCTTCTATGCTCAGAGTCTCTTACCTCACTGACTGCTTCTTGAACTCCTCCACGGCCAAGACGGAAAGAGACCCTCACCTTGAAAGTTTTTAACAGATTCTTCCCAGGGCCTGAGCAGCCTATTCTTGAACCCAAAATAGGCTTACATAAAAAAGATCGAATTTGAGCAGCCATTACTGAAACATTCTGCGAGAACAAAGAAAGATTTTCCTTTATGCGAAAAAAAGCAAGCAGCGGCAACAAAATTAAGAGAGGAAAAGAAACGCCTTGCGCATCCCTTCACCATCAACATGCATTTTTCATTGCATTTGGAATCCACCACAATCATTCAAAAAGTAAAATTATGACATTTCACATTTCTAGAAGCTGGGAAAAATTACATAAATTACAGCAAAAAGAAACTCCTTTTGGATCCCAATTGGATGCACTTTTGAGAAAGACAGCCATTTTATCTAGCAAAAAAAGTCGTAATACTCGAAGCGATGCATGCAACAAAAACATTGGAGATAACAAATATTTGAGAAAATCAACCTCTTGCAACTCTTACATGGAACTGCAGGAAGAATTGCCAAGGTCACAAACTCAGCTTTTATAATTTACAAAGAAAGGTGCAAAGTTCCTAACAGAAACTAGATAGGCAGCAGTAAACAAACTAGTCCTCAGGAAGGCTTTTCATCTACGGAGATGCGATTCACATACCTGGTGGTGCGCGCTAAACTTGACCCAACATAAACTTGTAAAATAGTTAACATTTAGTCAACGCACGCGCTAACAGAGACTTGAATCGCACCGTGAAAAGAGTACTGCCCTATTACAAAGGGAAACTATTTGTTGCGACACATGCAAAAACAAAACTTAAAGCTCTGCATTCACGCAATACACATAATACTCACCGAGAAATATGCTACTACTGCTAACTGATTGTAGCAATGACCTGATGACGACCATAGCTGAGCAGAACGCGAGTAAAGCCTTAACAATGGAAGCATTAACAAGTCACAACATTGCCGAACCGTTTGTACTATGTAGGTGTGATATCTACATGAAACGCCGCCAATGGCTCGGATCAGACTTTGCAACCATCGCCAGCGAAGTTCGTGCGTTTCGCTCGCGATCGGTCACAAATCTGGCGTCTGTCTTTGCCATGGAAGGTACTAGACACCTGTGTCTATTTTCATATGCTAGGTAAGAAACCATCACATAAAAAATTCCGAATGCTGTTTTCTCTTCCATACGTTTTTTATATATATTTTGCAATGGGATTTTTTGTGCATGAGGGTCACGATTTGTCTGGCGTATGTGAGAAACTTCCCAAAACCCAAAACAACAGCCGGTCAAATAACTAAATTTTGTATTTTTCTGATTCACAACGTGATTAAATGGTACTCGACTTCTCTAACCTGGCTCATCGCCTGAGGTGTATGCGTGATGTTGCAGTTTGTCAAGCTTTATTCAGGGTCAAACTCTGCAATTCGCGCAATCGTGCAAATTGCAGGGTTTGACACCTCCCTGAGCTGGGAGGAGTTAGCAGCCAGCAATTTAGAGCCTATAGTTAGCATTCAAAGGGCTGTGTTCGCTGGAAAGGGACTAACAGTAGGATTTAAGCTCACGCTCTCGCATCCACTGTAGTCCTTCGCTGCCTTCAACAAGAGTCCGATAACGTTTCAGATCACCTAAGGAGATCAGATGTCGCGAACAGGATTTCAGGGCTGTCTGGAAATCGAGATGTGAAAGAGATGTGTTAATACTTGGGATGGTAAGAAAGTCCTGAGCCGATTTTTTGAAAGCTCCAGAACTTTCGCTTATTGATCGATACCTAGAATCTGCTACGTGATAGATTATCGCTGTCGATCATACTTCTCCGCAGTAGGTATATATAGCCGGGTTGCCTTCTTTAACTTTAATCATGATGTCACAAGAGCACTTTCGAGCGATCATCTTCAATGAATGGCGCTGCGGTCGGGGTAGTGGAAAAGCGGCTCACATCATCAGCAGCGCGATTGGGAAGGGGTAGCTACTTCCATCATCAGTCGAAGTGGTGTCGCAAGGTTGGGAAGCCCCCAAACAGTGGAAGACTCCACCGTTCTCGGCGCTGTCGAAGAGGATCCGGAGGTTAGCACCCGCAGCCTTGTGATAAGACTCTGGTGCACCCATCCCACAGTCCTCGGTCCCCTCTACGCCCTCGCTACAGGAAAGTGCAAACGGCTCAGGACTTTCTTACCATCCTAATATTATAATGAAAAATTTGTAGAACGATCATAGAATGAATTTGGAGAACACATACTCTCAACATACCTTTCGCCTACTCGACTCAGCATCAGGCGAGTTTGGTGACAAACATACATTCCAGAAGTTTTCGTCAGAATCGAATTGGAAGAGTGCGGCCTTTTCCACATCCACGTCTAGCTCCTTCTCATACAATGCAATGAGGCGCTCATAGAAAGCGATGCCCTAGAAAAGCAATCAAAGTAAATCCGGTACATTTAGTCCAGTCGAAGCACCCTTACGATTTGTCATCTACCAGGCAAAAGGTGAATTAATTTTAAGAAATGGTTAGTAACTAGTTCTATTATTGGTGCATGACTTTCCCAGTAGGACTGACTTGTGAATATTCCAAAAACGCACGGGTCTACAATTCAATGGAATTGTCCCCCTTCCCTGCCGGAGGAGTGTGGCATAGCCCATGGACCAGAGGTTGGCACGATCCCACTACACCTCTCAACGGTGGCGCTGACGGTCGAGCTGGTGGTAGGTTTCCCATTACGAGGAAAATACTTTCTCACTATCTCGGCCAAAAGTGAGAAGGAAATTCTTTGAAATTTGAATTCATTTTCTCCACCAATGCTGTTCTGAGAAAAGGTGTATGTTTGCGTGTAAAAATAAGAAGAACTGAAAGATCGAACTAACGAACAACTCCGCTGAAATTGTCCCCTTCCCAGCCGAAGAGTTTGGCACATCACAGACATGAACAGGGCTGGGAATTGAGTTGGATAGTCATCTCAATATCGATCTCATCTTTTATCTCGAAATCTTGCTCAAAAAATCTGGGGGGGAGGGGATTTACGCATATATGCTTTTTATCTGGAGGCAGGCTTGATGGGGGTGTTGCGCATATATGCTTTTGATCTGAAGGCAGGCTTGATCTCGGAACTTTTGAAAAAAGACTGCTGAAGGAAAATGTACAACAAAGATAACACGAAGTAAAACACATCGAGTAAGTACGCTGGTGTGCAAAACTTAAGGACGAACGTAGCTTTTCCATAACGTGTTACTGGCGAGTAACATAACTCTATGGAACCTAACCACACATAGAAAGAGCTGCTACAGTGCAGTACAGAAAGCAATTGACAGGAACCGTTAAACGGTCCACAAAGCTATCAATAAGTTATGTTACTTCATCTATCTCGTCCTTAAGTTTTGCACACCAGTGTACAATTCTTGGACATCTAAGTCAACAAAAAAAGAAGCCGAAACGCCAAAAAAACTACTATTCAGTCTCTCACCTTGTTAAGCAACAGCAGCAACTGTGAACGGAACAATCGTGAGCTGTCCTTTGGTGAATTTGCCATAGACTTGAACACTTCGATAGGCTTGTAAAATGCCTGCTTCCACAAATGCTGCTCAAGATTCATCGAGAACGTAAAGTAAATGTCTCGTAACATTACACCATAGTAGATCTCACATAAGTCGCTGCTGAAATCGAGTAAAAAATCGGAAAATTGGAACACATGAATCTAATATTTCAATGAAATCATATAAAATGAATTAAAATAAAAAAAAAAAATCAAAACATGTATGCCAACAAAAAAAACCAGAAGCGATCCTGATAATTTATTTTAACCTGGTTGCGGTTGAAGAAAAGATGGTTTATTCAGGTTTTATTCTTCGCTTCCCTTTACTAGCACATGTATCGCGAAAAGTATCGATTTTGGGCCTTGGGTGGTATTTTTTTATTCAATACTCGTCATGTACGTGAACGGTGAACGTGAAGAATACGTACTTAAACTTAGAACCAACCTTAACTGCACGATTTTTTCGGCAGCTGCCACATCTCTTTGCTGCACCTTCGTTAGTAATGACGTTATGGTGTCGTTGATCTGAAAAGTCGTCACTAAATACTCTTCAAAAAAGCGGCAGTTAACAGAAATTGTGCTCAAAAAGAGTGCGTTCCCAGGGATACTCAAAGGCCATGGGTTATGAGAGCGCGCTTCGAAAAAAATCAAGTTAGATCGAATACTAAAACACTGAATATAACATATGGCACATAACAGAGTTTATATGAAAAAAAATCAAAAATCCACTTGGTTTTACATCGCAGTACTATAAGGGGCCAACAGTTCTAGGCCAACTATTTGAAGTTTTGGTGAGACCTGATTAAAAAAATCACAAAATATTCCACCAGATTCATACATTCTCTAACATTTCAAAAAGAAGGCTGTGATCATCCAAAGCAAAAAGCAGAAAGATTTGAACCATTACTCCCGACCTTTTGCATCTTCGGCCCTTGATTTCTGGCAATCTCGTGATAGACCGGATAGTCGGTCATCTGTCGAGGCTGATTTGAATGTGAAACCGAAGGCGCCGTCATTTCCTCGCTGAAACTGTAAAATAATTTTTGCTGTCTCGCAGCAATAACCAACTCAAATTCAGATCTCACCGCTACCCCTTCAATTGAAAATTAATAATATATGTGCGAAACGAGAACCGCCACCACTCGCACTACATAGGGTGCTCTAGGAATGTAAAGATTGCTTTGATCCGTGACGCTTCACAGACTCATTGTGAATGTCAGTGCGCTAATGAGGGAAATTTTGAAAAATCTCAAAAAAAAGACCGGTAAAATAGACGACTGAATGCACTCCGAGGTGATTAGAGACTAAAACACGACAACGTGAGTCAACTTCACGACATATTTTCGCTACGCAGCTTGGGTTTTTGACGGTCACCGTGCAGACAGCCACAAGGTCCTCTCCATGCTAGTGCCAAAAATCTTTCCAATGACATATCGTCACGCACCGCTTGAAAAAAGTCAAAATTCGTGGAATAACAACAGAACGACCATTCAACAAAAAAAATTCAGGCTTCTATACCAAACCAAGATAATCAATTACAAGGATTGTACCGTGTGGCCTAATTTTTCTCATAAGACTCTGCCTGGAAAGATGCAAGGAAACAAACCTCACCAACACTGAAAAGCTGCAGAAGAAATCTTAAGAGAGGTAGTGTAGGTCAGAGAGGAAAAGAAAGGGATGTGGAGAAGAGATAACACTCAAAAAGTTCTAAGGACGAAAGGTAACCACCAGAACACAAATATTTACAAATTTAGAGTTTAGAGTCCTCACTTCGATATAATAATTGCCCTCGGTATTTTTATGGATGAACCCCAGGAATTATTTCATATTTCAAAACCTCCATTTCACACAAGAAAATTCCCGCCAAAACGGTGCTATTACTCATAAACAACTAGGTTCGAAAGTTTATTGATAACGAATCTTGGAGTTATTAATTGTCGAAAATATGACCATATAAAACCGAAATCAAATGAAAATACCATCATAATAAACTAGGGTAAGACGTCACCACATAAAATGCAAAAAGAGATCAAAAACTGTAAGATTTGATCCTTGTATTTGAGTTCAAACATTTTTGGAAAAGCTAAGCAGTGATCTAAGTTTCAGCTCTTAAGCTGATAAGATGTATATTTGGCAGACTGATAGGGGAACACTAACAAAGCAAAACATCCCTTCAGACGCTGCCACTAAGCACTGATAAAACGCTTGAAAGGCAAGAAGCAGAGGTAGATCACAAGATTGTTAGTACTCACATAATAAAAACACGACGGGATTAAATGGATGATAAACCATACAGTAGTTGGTTAGCCACAATATTGGGTTAGTATGTAATTAAATACACAGATAAAAATGTTAACATTCTGTTATATTATTAAGAGTAATGGTGCTAAAAATAAGGCTGGTGTCGGAGTCTGCGATCCGTCGCAGGTTTCGCAGGTATCGCAGTATAGATCGGCACTTGTAATTTCCGTGGCCCATCGCATGAATCGCATAAGTCACTTGAATAGTGCGAATCGCGCGAAACCTGCGACGGATCGCGGACTCTGACACCAGCCTAACTGTGAATGAAAGTGTGCAGATCACCTGTTTCGAACAATACCACCTGCCGCAGCAACATCGTTCTTCTCTGCCACTGCAAATAACAATCAATTACGCCGTACTCAATTCTTCTTCTTACAGAAAATGCTTGGCGCTCCTGGTCGGAAAGCACGACGTACAAGTTGAGTTCCGACTGAGTTAACGACCACATGGCCTCATACGGGACTCGAATCCCACATTGTGCTTGCCGCGCAGGAGTGTTAACTAGGTTGAATCAGGTTGAATCGTAGTTCAACTTCCTACACAAGAGCTCATATTAGCTTAGCGGGAGGTGTCTTGTTTGTAACTTCGCTGGTCTTACATGGGGCAGGAGAAGATAGGTGGGAAGATTAAATAGCGGCGCAAAACGGATTGGAGAACATCAGGTTGAACCAGGTTCAGAAACGCTATTGATATCGGCCATGAACGTGAAAAGAAGGTGGTATCGAGACATCCACTAGAGAGGGTGACGGGAGGGGCAGTGGCCGTACTGCCGTTTCCTCGAATCGATGTTCACCCTGGTGTTAACATCCTACAACTGAAACCGTAATGTTCCCGCTGGCGCTTTGCCTTTTATGTGTGGTATCTCTCCCGCCAGTGAACTACCCCTCTTTTCTGTTACATGCTGGTTCACAAAACATACGTCGCATCGCTGGTGGTTTACGTCCTTCTCGGCTCGTTTCGCACGGGAACTCGAGTGGTACGCGACGCAAGCGGTATGGCCTCCGTTTGCATTCGGTTCCCTTCGTGATCGATCAACTGTGACTCGGCCCATCAGGCGACCACCTCTATTCTCTTTGTGAACGTCATCACCTCCACCACTGTATCCAGCGCTGGATTTAATCAGCTGTGGTGTTCCTGAAACTCAACAGAATGATGGCAAAACCAACCCATTCAGTTAGACTTGGAAACAACAATTATCATAATGACCACATCAGCAAAAAGGAAAACGAAAGTGGAAACAATCACTACTTCGACTGTTCCAGTGTTTTTCGTCTCCGCTTTCCTCAGTTGGTGTGCATTCTCCACTCGAAGGTTCACAGGATTCATCAAACTCTTCTTCCACTATACTGCCACGTAGCGAAGATCATCACTAATCTTCCAAAACAATTAAATGAACCAAAGAAAAAACGAATGCCATGGAAAAGAATCATTCTAGATTTGAATCGTGCACATGGGTTTGCGCCATTTAGCGCTTTCCTAACGGTACAAAAGGTTGTGAGGTACATCGTCGTAATTCTTGTGCCACTAGAAGTGTTAACATAGCCTTCGGGTGTTGGAGCAATCAATGAATAATTTGGTGGTACACAAAATTTCGGTTACTTATCTCATATGAGTGAGTTAGGAGATTATGAGCAGAGTCAACCCTGCGTTGCGCAGTTTTCAACGGCCACGTTGCGCAGTTTCGCCCGATTAGACACGTTCTCTCGCGCGAACATTCACACTCGCATGCTCGAGCCGTCTGCGTCTCCGCCCATACAGCGTGCGTTGAGGATCTCTCAACGTGCCGTTGCGAACTGCGCAACGCAGGGTTGACTCTGTTAGGTCCTTGCCCCTCATGGGACAACATGTGCTGCGGTTGAGTCAACCTACGCCGAAAAATTAAGTAGGCACACTGTAACGAACTAACCATTTCTATTTCTTCCTCGGTCACTTCGCAACCCAGGAGGTATTCTCAGAATACCTCGCATGGAAAAACTCGAGTGGGGACCGTCTCCATGGGGGAGATCCTTGTGCGCTGAGCCATTGTGTAGAGTTTCGCCCCTGAAAAATTTTTAAAGTGACTTTTTAAGCTTACAAAAGATTGCCAGGAAGCTGTACTCGCTAATGCTTCGCCGATCAGTTGATTTGGAAAGGATTCAAAAATAGCTCCACCACTCACCTTTCTTGATAATTCGTAGAATGGTCTTCTTTTTCTTCACCATGCTTCGCGTTATATTCTGATTCCACCTCTCGGCTCCAGTCAAACGAACCAATTGATTCAAAAGACTGGCACAACTGCATATACGACAAGGAGGGAGATGGAGGTGCATCACCGGCGACACTTCTCGTCTCAACATTCGTGTCGATATGGAGTCTATCCTGAAGCAGCAGCTTGGAATATTATCGCAAAATCACTTATGAGCCCTCCCATCGTATATCCACTGACCCACATATCATACCATTGTTTTGAAACAAATTAAACATCCAATGCGCAAAAATTTATCCAACCCCCGACCAATGATGCGAATTAGTGGAAAAGATCCAGCTCGTCTACCAGAAGTGCACTTGCGCGAGTTACCAGTGATTACGCAAATCAACAAAACATGCATAACATACGAGATGTCTGCGGTAGGCATTCGCTTTGAGTGCTGTTAATAGAATCGTTTCTTCGTCGATTACCAACATTTCGCCGCTGTCCCCCTTCGGCTCGCATTGATGACCGCTCGTTCTTATTTATCTGAGCCTGAAAAGTGCCTTTTCTTCATTAACATGAAGTCTTAACTCCTTAATGCCGACGACAAATCGGATCTTAACATTGTTCTGTATAAATATTGATACAGGAGCCTCGCACAGCGGTAGCCGAATTGTTTATTCAAACAACGGAATCCCAATGAAACATACCGTGCGCTTAAATCGAACCGGTGACGGTGCTCTGCCAATGTCGGCTTTCGCGCCACGTCCTCGACTGGTGAAGTTTGATCGATAATTGAGATACCCTTCTGGTTGTTGCGGATCATATAAGGATTGTGTGAGAGTTCTAAACAGAAAATTACGAAAATGAAACATGTGGCGATATCAACGGTCTCGTGACTTACATAAGAATATCTTGGACTGGGAACTCTGTCATTGACCGCTTCACGATTCCCCTGCAATGAGCAAACAAAATCTGCAGATTCAAAAATATGCTATAATCTGCTTCTACAGCTCGCATACACACTAATTCACACCCAAATCCTCGAACCAATTAATGTCAAACCTTTCTAAACTTCATGTATATCAAAGAAAAAACGTAGCAATTTACCTGGCCTGATGGTGCGCGATAATTTGGCCGGCTATCGCGTAAGCCTCTTTTACTGCTTGACGATGGACTTGTGAAGTCGCTATGATTAGAATGGTATGCCTTGTCTGAAAAAAAAAACAACATATGCAAAGGAAAAACGATCTCATAGCCCCCGCCCTTATGTAAGAAACAAATATTCTAACATCTATCAATCCCATTCAGCCTTATTTCCAGTTACACAGAATTTCCATCACAGGTTAACCTAACGAACAAAAAACAAATTTCGCAGGCGCTTATTACAATCAAAACAATCACGTTCAGAAATAAGCTCAAATATGAAAACTTTGCAATCAAATACACATTAATAAAAAGACAGAAAACACCGAATTCAGCCCAGAGCGCTCAGGTTAATGTGTAGCACAAAAATAAGTATGGCGTGCATCTAGTTCCGCAGGATTCTTAACATCTAAAGTACAAAACTTACTTATTACTAGAAATAACTTCCACCTCGCGTATAAGTCCGCGTTCCGGACACTCTTCCAAAACTGTCTCTTCGATCATTGCACGTCGACGCCGCATCCGGCGTTGTGCTCCCGGAATCACCACAATCTATTAATAGAAACGATTTGTTCAATAATAGCGACACCCCGAATCAACTAAACTCTGAAGCTCAGATCGCAAATATAAGTGTGAAACAACAAACAATTCTGAAAAATATAAAGTGGAAATTAAAATGTATAACTGAACTGATGAATCAAAAAGGCAAATTTCGATTGTAGTGCAAAGGCTCCAGTTTTTTTTTTTTCGGGCGAAAAAATCACCGATGGATCTTTTGAAAAACAGTTTTGACACTGAGTTGCAAAATGACCATCGAAAAATATTACGAGCTATGGGCACCAGTCATTAAATAATCACCACCATTTATTGAAAAGTTAGCTGATATCTTCAAACAACTCACAAAAATGACCAGATTCGTATCGTTACACTCATTGTTAGTACTTTCAAAAGCCCTTGCTGAAAAAGGGAAATAAAGTGAAAAGAACATAAGTTATAGCGATAATAACGGTGTGGAAGCCCATGAAACAGGACAACCCAAAGTAAAATTTGAAGCAACATACAAAATTCACCTCCTCCGCGACTATTTTCTAGGGAAATTCGGGAAGGACGTTTTTGCCTCGGCGGTTCGCTGGGAGGTTTAGAATCGTTCGGTGGAGGGCCACTCGCTGTGACATCCGTTCCTTTTCGCATCATACCTGGAACATAAAGATTAAGCAAAATAAAAAAATAATTGTCAACTGATAAAAGACCTAAACCTAACGCACAGAACCTTAGCCCAGTTAGTCGCAAAGAAACCTACTACAGTCTCTTCGCTGGGATATAAAGATACTAGAACTGGAAACTGAACTACTTAAAATCAACCGTACACTAATTATTGCCGTGAGGAGAAAAACGTTTCAGTCCACTCTGTCCCAGTAGTGACTCTGTGATAATTTTGCCGCGTAAAAATAGAATTTTGTTTTCTACAACAACCTATTCTGAAACAGCACTGGCGTGCAAGAATACTCAACTCACAATTGAAAGCTCGACTCAAGTATCACTAATTGTCAAGATGTTAACTCTTGGGCCCCACTCAAACGCACTCATAAAGGAACTCTAATCACACATCCACACTCATCACAAATAGAACCAAAGGAACTGCGAACCCAATGAGCGATAAAATTACTGCCACTTAGGAGAATCCATACCACGAACGGAGTGGAAGGCTAAAAAATAAAAGGGTGTAATTTTTTTCCTAGTCTGACTCCTCCAAATATTATTCAATTTATAGTGTAGGCATTTGCATATCGCCCTTCCTAGTCCACTATGAGGGTTGCAGCGCTTCAGGTTCAGATTGAGGACATAGGTCGAAGGCTGCTGTGTGTTTCGACGCGCCTAAAGCGATGTATAAGTACTGCCCTCACAAAGCTAATTGTCAGCAACGAGCCATTTGAACATCAAAAGACGCAACACCAGCAATGTCGTGCGTATAGAGTGCTATCAATCACATGACGAGAATATAATCTAACCAGTTACGAACATATTCGAAACCACATCACAAATGACGCCCTAATTCACAAAACTATCTAAAGTACTCATTGCTATTTCCAACAGGCAATGACGGCCACACTCTGCACACATATATAGTGCCTGAACCATTATAAACCATAGTATTATTTTATTCTCTATTCGATAAAAAAGTCAATAGGAAGGCCATACTTGGCAAACATATGAAGTGAATGAACCATTATAAGCTATTGTACCTTTCTGTCTGGTCGAATACAAATGAAACGAAACACTAACAAAAGACAAACGTGGTTAGCAGAAAGTAACAACTGATCCTACCTGGTCGGTATATCTGAATTTCAGGACGAACTTTTCGCGTTCGTGTTGTATTGGATGAGGAGCCGTCCTTCCCTGGTTCATCCGCCATTCTATGAAAACACTAATTAGGTAATAATAGTAGAAATGACATAAACAACAAGATAATTAGGAACACATTTCGTTACTAGAACGGTCCTCATATATGAAATATTTTAATATGTGAATAAATGAGAAGAGTATATGATAATTATTAGAATGCAACACCGTGCGTAGGCAATTCATATCAGGATGACATCTCATACGTCCGCTAGGCTTTGAAAAAGCACGTGTGTTTCTTATCACAGCAATCAATATGCTGTGATATGATAAAGGGACAACGACGTTTCGTTGAAATAGGCCAAACAAGACAGACCGAGACATCTCCAACTCGAAGCAAACAGAACAAACAAAGCGTAAGCAACCACAATTTCGAAATAGAATCCAGAATAAAAGTGTGTATAACTCCCTAATCGCAAGTCGGGTAGTAGACCAAAAAAATGAGTCCTCGAAAAGTTTTATTTAGTCAATGTTGAAGGTACTACAGCAGTATAGCACTCCATTGATACAAAGCCGCTACTCAATCTTTCGACGGAACAGGACTTAATCCCTTGCCTCAAACACACGTATAACCACAGGACATGTAGATTTTGGATAAGGGGGTAGAAATATGACAGGCAGAGTTGTTGAAAGTGGATACAAGTTAGTTTTTTCTCCAGTTTAACACACTCCCTTCACATAAAGCGCAGGACACTGTTCTTGAAGCTTTCTCTCTCCCTTTCTCTTCTCTTTGAAGAAACTCGTTTTTCATAGCTTCATGGAATTTCTGACAAATTTTCGTAAGATTTCAAACTATCTAGTGAGAGACTTGTATAGACTGGTCATAGAAGATTACACACGTTCGCTTCAATTAAAAAAAAAGGATAAAGCATTTGCCGTTGATCAATCCCTTTTTGGGATGCGGCACGCATTCTACTTCCATTTGTACATTCGTAGTGGCGTTTGAATGCGATGTGGCCTATACAATGACTTGCGGGGGCCAGCCGATGTACAAGTCAGTGTTTTTATCCTCCCAGACAAGTCTGGTACCAATTAACCGACCCCGGAGGGATGGAAGGCTTGGTTGGCCCGGGCGACTCACGACCCAGGATTTGATCCCGGACCGCTCGCGTGGTGAGCGCGCCACTTGTCACTACACCACTTCCGCCCTCGCTCCAATTAGTTTCTCTAAATCTCAATAAAGTTCAAAAAGGTGGGAAAGAAGTTTGCTGTTCAACGAACTAGTAAAGAAAACCTCAAACACAAGAAAGGTAGAAGAATAAGCAATCTAAAAGAGTCGGTCCTGCCCGTTTACCAAAGTAGGAAAGAGGCAGAGAAAACTTAAAAGAAGTAAAATATAAGTGTTTTTGTTTAGGTTTTAGAAATACCATTTCTAGAACCTGAATATAACCGATTAGTGTGCCGCCAAGATTTTTCGGAGCGTAAGAAGGGAATTGGAATTCTCTCTAAGACACCCTCACGATGTTAAGCGCCACGAAGATGAATTGGTATCCCAAAACATCAAAGGCACATCAATGTCAAGTGCACATCCATCAAATGGATCTGACATCACCTATTCCCCACCATAGAAAAAAAGCAAAGCAGCAGAAAAACCATTCAACTTGATTACCACATTAATTTGAGGATCAACTAATGCCGATGCGCATCTTTTCGAGGGAATACAAAAAGGAGCGTTAAAAGTTCCACTGCACACAGAGAGCAAAAAGGAAACCAGTTCCTAATCGACTCTGATTGGATTGAATCCATCAAAACGGAAGAGTTCATTAAAAAGGCCGTTTAGACAATCAATATGCAAATTCATAAACAAGCGGAACAAACTAGCACGAACCACTTGTGGGAAGAAAAAACGGACAAATTTGAGATGCACACACTCGCTGCGTAACGGGAACGAGATTTGAATAATAATAAAAACTGTCAAGACTAACGAAAGTAGACTAACAAAAGAGAAAAAGATTCAGGAGCAGGGAATCACAAGGACGTGACAAGCAGAGACGTTTTCACGCTGTAAAAAAGCACCGTATGTGATTTGTGACGTCGACTAAAAGGCAGCGGACGCAATTGCAACTAATTTACATGATTGAACGACACGTGCTAGGGGTGCTCGAGTGGGACATACGATGACAGCTGCTTGGAGTAGAAATGCTCTTGTCCTGGCTGACATTTCTCCGTACGAAATGACAGGCTGTGTTATTCTCATCGAGGAGTGTCTTTACATCATTCTGCTCGTACATTTCTTTGACTCCATCAGCTCAAGTAAAAGTAGCAACAAGCCAGTAGACACGATTTCGGTGCTATACAAGTAGGGTGGGCACGCCGCATTTTTTGAACAGAAATGTATGTAAGTGGGACTGCTGCCCGCTACTATACTGTCACGAGAATCGGGGAATTCGTGAGCCAGGGGGAGTGTAGCCAATCTAGGGGGTGGGGGTGAGGGCAGCCACTTGACGTTGCATCACAATGCCCCCCCCCTTACCGGATGAGCGCCGAGCCACGATTTATATTTATGTTTTTATAGATTCCATAATAGTATGGAATGAAATTTGGGCGCAATGTGCCTTCGGGGGTGGGGGGATAGTCTCTAAGAAGACCACTAGGGCTAAGCCTGAAGGGGAGAGCGAATTTTGGGAAGAATTGCTTTCGCCCTTCGGACTCCCTTGTCTAGTCTAAGGGTTAGTCCTGAAACTGAGTCACCTGAATCTGACGCAATGTCTACGCGTAACCCCCCCCCCCTCCCCCTCTAGAGCCACATTGCGCCGAAATTCGTGCTAGTACATTTGG